ACAGAGAAACTTAGGCTTGAGGAGGCCAGAAGAAGCAAGAGCTCCATTTCAACAGAAGTTACTAGAGGGGACTCAGGAGAACAGGCAGAAATGGTTCACTCATAGCTTCTCTGAACGAGATGTAACTGAATGAACAAAGTGCCTATGCAGAGAAATCTCTTCCTCAAGAGTTAGCAGCAGAAAAGCACTACATTCCCAAGAGTAGAAGACATACTAACTTCCTCCTTGAACATAGACAAAAATTGAGAAAGCTGTTTAAAGCACAGAATGACAGCTTAGCCTGACCTGTTAAAGAGGTGGCTTCGGGGACATCTCCACTTCCTGCCTCCTCCCAGGTCCTGGCTCTGCAGTACTGCTGCTGCTTGGCTTTTGGCTGGGGCAGGTGCTGCCAGAACTTTCCCTGGGCAGGTGGGAGGCTGGGGAGATGAGAGGATGGAACCCAGGCCAGGCCCAGAAGAAAGCTGGCAACACTGATCAGGCCACCCAACCGTTGCCTAAGAGTCCAGAACAAGATCACAGGGAGGACAGGCAGGGCAGGCCCAGTTCCTGAGCACCATGTACTTATGCCAAGCAAGTACCCACATGTCACCTCATTTCACCCTCACCACTAGTCCTAGGAGGGGGGCATTACTAACTTCACTGCAGAGAAGGCAGAACAAACTCGGACAGGTTAAGTACCATGCTCGAGGTCCCCGGTAGTGAGTGCAGAGTTCTGACTCAAATCCAGGTCTGTCTGGCATCCAGATCCACGTTTTTTCTGCTACACTGTGTTGGGTCTCTGTCATCTCGGAGCTTGGGACTGGTCTAAGATTGTCCTCCCTTGAAGATTTCTGAGTCAGAGCTACAAGAGTAGTAATTTGTACAAAATCAGTCCCCACCTGAGCTTCTCCTCCAGCCTTAGGATTCTTTGACTTAAGGGAAGAAGGGCTTTATAGAATCCCTTGAAATTGTACTCAAAAACTGTGCGTAGGTTCATGAAGATTTGTTTTGGCAAGAGTGTCTCTGGCTTTCATCGGGTTCTCTAAAGGATCTATGACTCAAAAACGGTTAATAACCACTGCTTTAAGCATTATTTGGTCTGATTCTCTCCTTTCACAGATGAGGAAATGAACTTTGTGAATTCTATTTTCTACTCAAGCTTTTGCTGCTTTTTCTGGAGCTACTACAGTACAACCTACGCAGTTCTCCTCCGAGCAGCTTCCGCCACTTCCCTCGTGCTGTGGAAACATCCTAGTGAGGCCAAATGGCAGGGTGAGTGGCCAGCACTTCATTTTTCATAGAGAAATGGAGAGTCCCTACGGAAGGGAGGTCTGGCCCTTTGCCCAAAGTACCATGAACAATGAGTATTCTTTATATGAATCAAGGCCATGTGAAAAGAGTAGATACCAGAATTAGAATAATTCGGAAAAATGACTCTTCAGACCTGGTAGGTTTGGGGAAGAAAGTGTGTGGTTATCTCGTGTGCACTTTAAACCCTGGACCCAGTAGCTTTTTAAGCCTCTTTAAAAATAAAAATTTGAGTTGCTGAGAAGGGGCTTTGCCCAGTAACAGCCATCCAGGTGGGTTGCTTTAAAACCTGTTAATCTAGTTGGCAAATAGCTGATTCTTTCTCTGGCCCTCTCTGGATCTTACTAACTTCCTGAGAAAAACTTTCTGAACGCAGAAGATGGAACGCTTTTAAAGGACTAAGAGGCAGGAGCATTATCTCAATACATTTTGAGATTTTGCTCCCCTGCTATTGTTGACAGTTTTGCTCAAACAAACTCACAAAAATTCTTTACAGATTTTAAATGTTTCTTACAAAGGGAAATCCAGGTTATTTGTACTAATTTCCAGTCTTTGTAGAAGAAATATAATTAAGTAAAAACTCCTCAAACCAGAAGAAAAAGGACCATAGGTCCCTCCAGTGACAAAATAGGAAGGTAAATCTCTAAGTGTGTAAACTGTCAACTGTGCACAGAAGGTGGAGGCCCCAGACTCACTTCAGATTCTGACCCGGTGTCAGAATCTACTTGGGATAGACTGGACTAGGGGCCTGCGCTGGTTTTCCATCAACGTTTTCCCATCAAAAAAAAAAAAAAAAAAAAAGTCAGGGATGAAAGAAAATAACAAAATACAAGAAGTTTAAAATAAGTAAATAAATAAAAATAAAGGACTAAGAGGCAATATAACTATTGCCCTCTGTGTGCCTTCAGGCATAAACCCAGTGGGTGGAAAGCAGGAAGAACACTGTGGCATTACAAGGCAAAAACTGTCCAGGCACCTTTTTTGGGCGGGGTGAGTAGGAGCAGTGAGGAGGTTTTTGTTAATGTAGAAATTCTTTTACAAAGTTCATTTTCTGGGATTTTAATCTGAAGCATTTAGTCACTGGGGAGGAAAAGAATAGAAGTTAGCTATAAAAATCAAGTAGGTGACACTTTTATTGGGGCAGAATGAGACAGTCCAAGAATGTAGATAGTGATTCATTCTCCATAAATGCTCATCTATTTATAGTGTGTTCATCCTGGAGTTATTTCTTTGTTTGCCTTCTTTCTTTTCGATTTTGATTGATGATAGCCATGATATTTTGCTTTGATGTGTTTCTAAGTGTAGTTTCACACGGCTCAGTAAAAATGATGCAGCCATCAAGTACGCAATTATTGCAGTATATGGTCTGACTGTATGGCAGTGTTGTAGCAGCTTCCTAGTTTCTCCTTTTCCCTCCCTTTTCCGTGTCCTCCTTCCAGTGTGGAAGGGTCTGCATATTCTGGCTGTGGGCAGAGGTTCAGGGACGAGAGGGGGTCTTCCAGCTTTGCATGAGCAGTGGACACGGGATCACGCATCCTCTTCTGGCTGTAAGGAAACTTGGCTACACTGGGCTGCTTTCTTAAATCTTCAGTGGCTTTTTATTTTCTTCAGTCTTCAGTGATGAGAGAAATATTATGAAGACATTGCTATCTAATTCAGGGGTCCTCAAACTACGGCCCGCGGGCCACATGCAAATACAAATATTGTATTTGTTCCCGTTTTGTTTTTTTACTTCAGAATAAGATATGTGCAGTGTGCTTAGGAATTTGTTCATAGTTTTTTTTAAACTGTAGTCCAGCCCTCCAACGGTCTGAGGGACAGTGAACTGGCCCCCTGTTTAAAAAGTTTGAGGACGCCTGATAATTTCTAACCTTTTTCAATAAAAAATTCCTGTGTTCAGCAGCATGGTTAATGCTCTTGTTTAGCCTTCTCCCCAAAACTGTACATGGTGGCTTGGAATGTTCACAACTCGCGTGCATGGCAGCGTAAGATAACGCCTATATTCTACATCGCTACTGTTTTGCATAAAATAAATTGGTAATGATTGACACTTAGAAAAAAATTGGGTAGGTGGATAATAATAATGTTCCATGTAGTGATTCCACTTATATTCTCTTAATCTTATGATTTACCCCAAAACACATTTGAAAACAAGAATTCACTAACCTATGACAGAATCATTAAAAAGGGGAAAAGGAAAAAAAAAAAAAAAAGACTGGGTTTTGGTGCCTAAATGCTTTCCCAGAGAACTCCCCTCAGAACTTTTTCACAGCCGCCGTTGTTTCCTCCATGTGAGCCACTGTCTGGTCCTCTTATATGTGTTCTGCAGGCTACCAGGCCTCCGCTTGGAGCCTGTCTCCACAGCTCGGCTGTTCCAGAAACCCACCCTTTTCCAAGTCCTCCTTCCAGTGTGGAAGGGTCTGCTTATTCTAGCTGTGGGCAGAGGTTCAGGGACAAGAGGGGGTCTTCCAGCTTTGCATGAGCAGTGGACATGGGATCACGCATCCTCTTCTGGCTATAAGGAAACTTGGCTACACTGGGCTGCTCTATAAATTTTCTGGAGCTCTTAAGTTTATAAGATGCATATATATATATATTAAATAAATGATAATCCATAAAAGAAGGTAAGAACCTATCCGTCTATACTGACAAATGGGGGAGAGAGGGGACTCTTCCTTACAGTAGCACTCCAATTAGTAAATATAGAAGAAGTGATGGAAACAGACGCTAACATCTGGCAAACACTACAGTAATAATCACGTTGGGCAGGAATCATCAAGGATGTCAAAATGAGTGGGCAAAGTGCGATGAGAAACAGGATATTTACATAGTCCCAAGATACTCATTAATTAGAAAACAGTAGCTTCACAGCAGAGAATGCTGGCAGACACCGCTTAAAGCAAGTGGTCAAAGTCAGCATCACCAGCAATGGGACGAATACACATGACATGTCTCCTGATATGATGCACTGAGGACACGACCTGACCTCTGTGGCATTCTTGCCCAAATTCTTGCATAATCGGGATTTAATTGAGAGACAACATCAGACAAACCAAAATTAAGGGAATTGTACAAAATAACTGCTCAATACTCTCTAAAAGTGTCAAGGTCATGAAGGTAACAAAAAGACTGAGGACCCATTCAAGATTGAAGGAAACTTAAGATCCTGACAACTAAATGCATAACTGGATCTTGAACCAGAAAAAGGGCATTCGTGGGACAATGCTACCCTCCTGATTTTGATAACTATGGTTATGAAAAATGTTAACATTCTCTGGGGGAAGGGTCTCTGAGAATTTTTTGTAACTTTTTTGTAAGTCTAAATGATTTCAAAATGAAAAGTTAAACAAATTATACTTGAAAACTTATACATTAGAGATTAGGCTGTCTTTCTCTGTTTGCCAGCGCCTGACATTGTAAAGCCCATGGGTTGACACATACAGCTATGTAAGGGCTTGGTGCCCAGGGGGAAGGAGATGTGGGGATCCATTTGGGACCTTATTAGAGTCAAAATCAGGCTTCTGAGATTTATAGACACAATAAATGATAACATTCAAGAGATATAAAAATATCCTTAACAGGTTTCCAGGGAGGGTCACAGGCATGCCAAATCCTTCCTTCTGCCTCAGGAAAGAGCTGTGTCCTTGGGAAGCCCAACCACAACCAGAGGAGGGGGAAACGCAATAGAAAATAGCAAAATGTTCATCACTCACTTGTCCTGGGACTCAATATACACATAGAGATGAGGCTCAAAACACTTGGAAACAATGCCATGAAATGGATTGTCTGGGGCTTTAGGCTTCTTTGGCTGTAAAGAAAAAAAGACAAGAAGAAAAAAGAAACCCTATACTTGAGCTGTCTTTGAAAAATTTCAAGCAGTTTCAAAGTAAATATCCTTTCCATGTTCACTCCTAACTTATAGATAAGAAGCACTCAATGTAACTAAACTGGCCGTAGCTGGTTTGGCTCAGTGGATAGAGCGTTGGCCTGCGGAATGAAGGATTCCAGGTTCTAGTCCGGTCAAGGGCATGTACCTGGGTTGCAGGCTCGATCCCTGACCCCCGTCGGGGTGCATGCGGGAGGCAACCAATCTATGTGTCTCTCACATCGATGTTTCTCTCTCTGTCTCTCCCCCTCCCTTCCCTCTAAGAATATCAAAGGAAGAATATCCTCCGGTGAGGATTAACAACAACAAAAAAGTAACTAAACTGGGTCTATATCCTGCATTATAATTCATGCCAACTTGTGAACAATAAGCTGGCTTTGTTAGCAACATTTACTTGCTTGGTATGGTGAAAATTTACTGCTACTTTGATAACACATGCATTTTCAATTTGGAAGTGATTCATCACTTGACTGATGTTTTAAAAATTAAATCCTAGCTAATAACAGCATCTTATATTTATAGTGCTTTAAAAGTTATAAAAGTGCTTTCACATGATCTAATTTTGATAGCCTCTTTTTACTGATTGTTATTATGAACCAGGCACTTTGATATGAAGTAATATCTCATCTACTCCTCACAACCCTCAATGTAGGAATTTTTACTATTAGTTATACCTAAAGAAAAGGAGTTCCACTGGCCAGGTGGCTTAGTGGTTGAGCATGGACCTATGAACCAGGAGGTCACAGTTCGATTCCTGGTCAGGGCACATGCCCGGGTTGAGGACTCAATCCCCAGTACAGGAGGCAGCCAATCAATGATTCTCTCTCACTGACGTTTCAGTCTCAGAGTCAGTCTCTCTCTCTCCCTCCCCTTTCCTCTCTGAAATCAATAAAAATATATTTTAAAAGAAAATTTCTGATTTTGAGCTGTGGTAATTTAAGTGGAAGTCCTTCTGCTTAAGAAATACATACTGAAATCTACAGAGGTAAAGGGCATGATATCTTCAAACTAACAAATTGTTCTGAAAGAGAGATGGGGGGAGGAAGGAAGAGAGAAGGAGAGGAGGAGTGGGGAGGATGTGATCAAAGTAAATACTAACAACCAGTGAATCAAGATGAAAGATTTTAAGAGTTCCTTGTAATATTCTTAAAACCTTTCTCTAAGTTTGACTTTGTTTTTTTAAAGTGAAATAAAATAGAAGACATGGGAGATGGGTGCCAAAGGCCTGGCAGGAAATCCCAGAGACAGTTGGGAAGCAGTCTTAAGAAATGGCACTCACCAACATCCTGGATAGTGCAGAGGACACTAACGTGTGGGAAAATACAGAAATCTATGCCTGAGCAAACAAGGGGTAAGATCAATTCCCAGGTTTTGATAATGCACTGGGTTAGCTGTCACCACTGGGGGAAGCTGGGAGGTGGGTACACAGGACCTCTGCTCTCTGCAACTTCTTGTGAATGTATATGTAATTATCCCCAAATAAAAAGTTTAAAAAGTGGTTCAGCAGAGAGAGGGAGAGATGGATGGACTCTGAATGCGAAGAAGTTTTAGGAATATCTTATTCTATTTTATTTTGCTTCTGTGTTCCCTTTTATGCATGCATGAAAATGACATGATAAAAATCTCTAAGTCTGAAGAACCCATTCAGTATAAAATACAGATTTTTAAATGATGAAAGAAAATGGCTACATGACATTCCAGCACACTCATCCTGATCAGTCTTCCTCGGGCCCTGCGCTTGACGAGCCCCACAGCACACTCTGAACTTGGCACTCGGAGAACGGCATAATCAGACAGAGCAGGCCTCCCCACCCCGCCCGCAGGCGACTCTGCTCTGCCCAGCCTCTGCCCACTAATGCCGCTCCTGGCAGTGAGAACAGAGACCGGCCACCACAGCTCTCGGTCCTCTTGCAAGGCTTTCAGTGTGAGATGGAAGGAAGAGAACAACAGGAGAGATTGTCGGAACTTTCCTTTCTTTCCACAGGGCTGCCTCCTGCTTGTGACTGTGCTCACATTTGAATAATAGGTGCTGGAATTTCAGCTTAAGCTGGTGTCTCCCTTTGCACCATCCAGCTCCCCAAAGGGTTGATTCTCAGCTCAAAGCATCTACTAAGTCATTTAGCAGTAGCATTCAGGCTGGCTTTCTGCGTGTGTGAATTCTGTCCAAAAGCTGCAGATGTGGAAGCTATTTCCTCCTGGAGCTTGATGGAATAATAAAGGTTACTGTTGTCACAGTGAGGAGGTCTGCAGCTGGCCCCGTTTCCTTTTATTACTATCCAATGTAAACAGATTAAGTCTTACTGCTCGGATCACCAGAAAGGGACATTTTTAACCAGAAATTCCTTATTTCTTCTGCCTCTTTCTTTTAGACTTTGAGTACCCTCATTCTCTTTTCACATGTCATTTTTTTTTTTTTTTAATCATTGGGAATATGCTGGCAACTGATTGTTCGAACTACTAGTAAATGCCTCTTTTCAAGTTCATTCTCCCTTCAACATAACCTAAACAGTGGTAGTGAGCAGGAATGAGCCTCACCATGAGGGCACACTGGCCACTGACTGCAGTGCCACGCGGGTTGGGTAGCCCAGGGTAACCGCTGGGGGCCTTCCCCCCACTACCTCTGGCTAAGCTCACCACAGCAAACTGTGGACTTCCTCCCCAGCACCCCAGAGGGCTCCTGTGCACCCAACTGGAAGCCACAGTCAGTGGCTGGGAAGAGGAAGATCCTGGGGCTCCCACCTAATCAATCACAAGCAAGACAAAGTGCTGGCGAGGCCTGCAAGGTCAGGGAAGGTATGCGAGGAGGCATTCGTCACTGGTGTGTAAGTTTTATTACTAAGAAGCAATAGGCTGTGAAACTGCAAGTGGATAATATAGTCCGGGGATTTTTTAGTACTTTATTTTTAAGCACATTAAAGCCCTGGATCAAAAGAAATTTTACCTGGAAGTCTACGATAAAAGTGGCTCATAATCGGACTCCTCTGTTTGGAGGTAACTTGGTCTCCTCCCAACTCTCCACAATGATTCCTGATGGGGCACTCAGGAATCAGTTTGAAAGCAATTAGTTCTTTGTAAAGATCAAGAAACCAAAGAAGTCTGGAGAAAGTAAAAATATAGCCTGGCCGGCATAGCTCAGTGGTTAAGCATTAACCTATGTACCAGGAGGTCATAGTTCGATTCCCAGTCAGGACACATGCCCGGATTGCAGGCTCCATCCCCAGTGAGGGGCGTGCAGGAGGCAGCCAGCCGAACAATGAGTCTCTCTCATCATTGATGTATTTATCTCTCTCTCTCTCTCCCTCTCTGAAATCGATGAAAAAGAAGTTTTTTTAAAAATCTAATAAAGGTCATATGGTCAGATAATGACAGACCAGACTGGCACTTTCCCTACCACATGACTGCTTTACCACATGAGTCTGTGTTCTCCGTCCTTAGAATGAGCAGGTCTTGGTCATTATAACAATAACCCTGAGCTTCCGGAATGAGTAAAAAGTTTCATAAGAAATAATAAAAATCGTATTTTACCTGGCAAAACTGATTTTGTAGGAAATGGGGAATTGTATCTAATCCAGTTTAATCACATCCAGAGATGACTAGCTAAAGGGGCAACTTTTCATGGCAGCACTACAGCATCTGAGTATTCGGCTACACAGTTCTGGACATGACAATAGCAGTCACCAGCACTGGGAGACATGGCACGCAGGGTGGGTGGAGGATATACACCAGAAGAATGAGCTCTACATACAGCTCCCTCCTTCCCATCTGGTCCTTCCTCCCAAAATGTTAGAAGAAATTTTTTTTTTTTCTCCCCACACTGGCTGATAGGATGGCTTTAAATCAATTCCATTTAATCCTATAGATCTCTGGGATGCAGCCTGAAGGTACCCTTCAGTTTTATTCATTCACTTTTATTCGTGGGAATAATTCCTATGTCCTCTACTTTCCATTGAGACATCACAGGGTAATGAGAGTGTCAAGAAAGGAATCCTAGTCTCTGACTTCTAGGCCTGGCTTCCAGTCCTCACTCCTCCACTTCCAGACTAGGTAACCCGGGCAAATCACTTAACCTTCCTGAGCTGCAGGCATTGCAGCTCATATAAAATCCTATAAAATGAGAGACAGGCACTGTGAAGATGAAATGAAGTAAAGCATGTGAAAGACTTTTAAACTATAAAACACCATAAAAATGTGAGGTATCCATGTTATTATAATTATTTAATCAATGGACCAGACACATTTTATTGCATCACTTCAGAACTGCCCCTGGAAATTCTCCTCTCCTGGCTCCTGCCAGGATTGTACACCGCCCTCGCCATGCTAGAAATACAGGGTGAGCTGCAGAGAGTGTGGCTAGGTTTCCCAGAGCTAGTCTTCCCGGCCAGCCTTCCTCTGGTGGTGTCTGGACCAAACCAATACTATAAAATAATTCTTTAGAAGCCAAATGTAGAAAATTAAAAGGAAGGATCACTAATCCAGACAGAAAAAGTTCTGATTTATTGCTCTAAACTCTTCTTGTCATAAAATGGCAGTGAAACAAAAACACAGTTCTTGTAGGATGGAAAGAGAGGAAATTTAGAGTTGGACCGAAAAATCCGAAGGAAATGAAAGTGCTAGTGTGCTGGGAAAAGTAACTCCAAATACGCCACTGGGTCACCCTGACGTTTCCAGGCCTAAAATGATCAGCTTACACTGAGCGGAGGCCGCCCCCAGCTGATGGTGCTAACTTCGCTGGGGACCTTTCAGCCTTTCATGTCATCACCGGACCAGATCAAAGTACAACCGAAAGCTAAGCCGACAAGTTCAGGAGATGATGACTGAGGCCGGACAGAATTCTGCTGCCCCACCTCATGGGCTGATTAAACTTGTGCGTGTTGCTAATTCCGGTGGTGAGGCTTTTGGGAGCAGAGGCAGGCAGGAAGGGCTGCTGTTTCACTCAGTTTTCTAAATCCACTTTCAGATAAAGGCTTTCTATAAAGACCACCAAAGTTGTAATCTCTGAATGTGGTCAACAGCCAAAGGATCATATTTAGAGCGAGCAGACCCATTTTCAGAGCGAGCACGAGGTGGGATGCAAGTGGAAGTGCAAACCAGACTTACTTGATCTACATCTCCTTTCTCCATGGCCAGTTCCTCCATCTCTGGTGTTGACTCATCTTCCAGGAAGGGATTGGTAGATGGGGGTGGAGACTCGAGTTTTTTCTGTTGAGACATAAGAGATAGGTATCTTCTGAGCTCTGCCCATTGCTTTTTCCAAGTCTCTCCAAGAGCTAAGTCATGAAATCTGACCTAATGAACAAGAACTGAGGCAACATGACCACATTCTCACCTCTAAGCCTTCACATTGTTTTCCCATCTTCTAGAAACCTTATTGCCCACCCAACCCCACCCCAATTCCAATCTGGCTAAAACTCTTACTTATCCTTCAGTATGCAAATTAAAAGTCCCGTCTGGGAAGCCTTCCCCATTGTCAAGTTTGGGTTAGATGTTCCTGTCACCACCCCAGCGGTGCATCCCCTACCCAGGTATTTATTAAAATATTGCAACTGCCCATTTATTTGTCTCCTCCCTAGATTCCATGACGGCAGGGATCACATCTGTCCTGTTCCCCATGCTATCTCTGGTGCCTGGCATGTAATAGGTGCTCCATAAATATGAATGAATCAAAATGCCAGATGGGTTTGAATTCAAGAACAAACTATAGCAGGGCCTGGTGGTGCGCACTTGTAGTCCCAGCTACTCGGGAAGCTGAGGCAGGAAGATCACTTGAGCCCAGGAGTTCTGGGATGTAGCGCGCTATGCCAATTGGGTGTCTGCACTAAGTTGGCCATCAATACGGTGACCTCCAGGAAGCAGGGGACCACCAGGTTGCCTAAGAAGTGAACTTCCCCAGGCTGGAAACGAAGCAGGTCAATACTCCTGTGCTGATCAGTACTGGGATTGTGCCTGTGAATGCCACTGCATTCCAGCCTGGGCAACACAGCAAGACCCCACTCTTTTAAACCCTCAGTAATGAATCTTGAACCCTCAAGAAACAAATGATACAGTGATACTACCCTTATTCATTGCCTGAACCTTAAAAAAACAAACAAACAAAAAATAGCCCAGCTGGCATGGCCAGTGGTTGAGCGTTGACCTATGAACCAGGAGGTCACCTCTCAATTCCTCGTCAGGGCACATGCCCAGGTTGCTGGCTCGATCCCCAGTGTAGGGCATGCAGGAGGCAGCCCATTAATGATTCTCTCTCATCACTGTTTCTCTCTCTCTCTCTCTCTCTCTCTCTCTCTCTCTCTCTCTACCTTTCTTTCTGAAATCAATAAAATTATATTTAAAAAACAACAATAAACTATAAAGCTAATCTTATATGTTTTAGATTATAGACAAAAGTCCCTTCCCAAATAAGTCCCTTTACAACAACCACAACAAAATATCTTTGAGAAAAATTACTCCCCAGCTTCTGAATATGACCACTCTTTCAAAAATATACTGTTGAGTGGGACCACAGGCTGGTGGGAAAGCTGGAGGCGGGTGATGTAGGTTTTAGCTCCAACTCTTGGCCAAATCGTCTGGCTCCTGTGAGCCACAACAGCCTCATCTGCTGAATGAGGATACCTCACAGGACACTCGAACGATCGAATGTGATAAAGTGTGCAAAGTCCTAGGAGAAGCACATAATACATATAAGAGACATTGATGATGACAATTCCAGTGCAACTACAGAATCAAGGCAGCTCTTCAGGATTTTTTACAAGTTTGACCTTGAGATGTTTATGCCAGGGAGCTGGGAGTTCTAGCAGAAAGGAAACTAGGTAGACAAGCAGGATAAAGGAAATTGGTGGTGCTGGGGATGAGGAGAAAGGGCAAGGAATAGCTCTCTGGAGACAAGAAGCCAGGTACAGCCCCAGCTGTGTGGGTCAGCTGGTTGGAGCACTGTCCCGTACACCAAAAAGGTTTAGGCTCAACATATACCTAGTTTGCAGGTTCCATCCCTCGTCGGTTGGGGCATGTACAGGAGACAACTGATCGATGTTCCTCTCTTCCTCCCTTCCTGTCTCTCTAAAATCAATAAACATATCCTCGGGTGAGGGTTAAAAAAAAAAAAAAGCCAGGTGGAGAAGGAGTTTCCAATGTGACATTTTAGCATGTATTAATGGAGAAACAAACAATTCCCTAAGCCAAGAGGGATAGCAGATGGTCTACAGTGTGAATGACTTTGTCAAGTGCCAGGATATCAGCTAAAGATATTATTAAAAAAAAAAAAAAAAAAGAATTAGAAGAAGAAGAAGAAACCACACCTGTGTCTGTGTCTGGTTTAGACTTCAAGACAATTCTGCTTACACAGACATAAACTGCAGAATCCCTGGCCAAAACACTTGGATGCTATCGCACAGTTAGACAGAGCTTCAGCATATGAAGAAAGCCTTGTGATTAATGCATTAGCTCAAGGTAATCATTAGTAGAATAATGACTTTTGTGGTATCCTGCTGAGAAACAATATGGTCTAACAACCAAGCAAATATTTCAAATGTATACAATCAGAACTCTGGCTTCCTTGCCTGATACAGAAAATAAAAAATAAAAAAAATCCTATAAACTTAAAGCTATTTAAGTTTCTTTTTAGAATGAGGCTATTTTTAGGAAGAAATGTTTCTTTGAAAACAGTATTTCTAAGCTTTAGTTATCTCTGTAGGGGTTGTTAGTAGTGTAGGGAAAGAGGAATGGTGAGAAAGGAAATCCATGAAGCCTAAGCTTCAACAAGATAAATGAGGTACTAGCGTTGGATTCCTGGTCCCACCGGCTCAACAGTGGGTTTTGGGATCATATTGTTGAGCTGAATCTTTATGCTCTGAGTCTTCTGGTCCTTTGGTCATGTGGAGAGCAAGTCAGTAACTGAAGTGAAACGCTTTGTTCAAAATCATTCAGTGATAGAACAAGGATTTGAATTTTTGAACTAAACATTACTCACCTATTGTTAGGTCTACCAAGGTTGACAATAACAGATCAAAATTATACACAGGTGGGCCTCATTTTAAAAACAATGTGTTACTGGAACTCATGACAAAAAGTGGACATCGGTGAAGTGAACCGAGGGTGTTCCTGGGCTCCACTCTCACTGGGAGAGTGTCTGTGCATAGATGTAGGAAGTAATACATAAAAGGCAGCATTGAAAAGGCATTTGGGGCAGGAGAGCACGGGCCACTTGCTCAGTGTTATGGGTCGGAAGAGTCCCAAGATTTCTTTCCTATCCCCACCGTCTCTCTCTATTAACATCCCGATGGGATTCCTGAGGGAGTCATAGGCACTAAGTAACTTCTTGCTCATTCATTTGGGGCGCAAATGTTTCAGGTGTGGACCACGTTGATGCAAAAAAGTGATTCATTCCTTCATTCACCCACTAACAAGTGGATGTGCCATATGCCGGGAACCAGCTGCCCTCAGGAAGATTATGGTCAGGCGAGGAAGATGGACTATAATAAAATAATCACAAAAACGTGTGATGAGGACCATTCAGGAAAAGTACAGGTTTTTATGAAAGGATGCAACATATGGTCACAGAACACTTCCCCAAGGAAATGATGTTTAAGCCAGAACTGAAGGATGCTCCAGAGTTAAATATGTGAAGGGGGTAGGAGGAGTGAGGTGGGTGTGGCCAGAGGTTTCCAGGCATAGAATAGCATCTGTATGCCATTCATTCAGCAGTTATGGACTGAGCATCTATCTACTCTGTTCCAGGTATTCTTCTAGGCACTAGAAATACAACCCTGAATAAGACGGAAAAGGAAGGGAGGCAGTGATGGAAACAAAACTTAGGAACTGGGGTGGCCTGGGGTGATCAGAAAAGGTCTCTTTGAGGAGGAGATAGTTGAGCAGAGACCTGAATAAGAAGGAGCCAATCAGACAAAGACCTGGGGAGGAGCATTCTCAGCCGGGGACCTGGTGCAAAGGCTGGAACGAGCTTGTTGCGTCTGAGAACAGGAAGGAAGGCAGGGCATGAGATAAGAGAGGCAGCAGGAGCTCAAGCACACAGCCTTTCCTGGGCCATGGTAAAGGGTAAATTTTTCTTATCGAAATTGGGCAGTCAGTGGGAGTTTTAAACAAGGAAATGATGGGATCTCATTTAATTTTTAAAATGTCATTCCAACATCATGAACTGGAATGGAAGCAAGAAGAACAGCTTAAGAGGCTGCTGCAGTGTTCTAGACAAGGGCCCATGTGGGAGTAGACGAAGCTGGCATTGTGGAGACAAAAAAAAAAAAAAAAGTGGCCAGATCTGGGACATATGTAGGAGATAAGGTCCAGAGGACTTGTTGAGAGAGTGGATGTGAGGGTGAAGGAAAGAAAGAAATCAAGGATCATTCACTTCTTGGCCTGAGCAACGGCGTGGCTGGTGTTACCATTAACTGAGTAACAAACCCTGGGTTTGAGTCCAGGCTCTATCACTTGTTTATGTTGCTTAACTTCTCCAAGCCTCAGTTCTTCTATAAGAAATGTGAAGGGATAGAAATATCCACTGCACAGAGCTGCCATGAAGACTAAAGGAGATACTGTATGTAAAGCATGAGCTATGCATATAAAGTTGCTTAACTCATCGCCTGGTGCAAAGGGAAACCTCAGTATGTGTTCATTAGCATTTCATAGGGGCGGGCAACTAAATAAGGCAGAACTGTGGTTGTGTTTGTCTGGATGAAGCAACTCTCAGAAGAGGAAGAAATGGGAGCACAGGGCCAAGAAGTCTTGTAAAAAATGATTCCTTTTAATCATAAGTAAGATCCTGTCCCGACTGTTTTGTCTCTTTGAGATCTCTCCAGGAAATGAAAGCGATGGGCCCATCAAATTACAAGGCCCAGGACCACTGAGTTTCTCTCCTTCTTCCCTGGTCTCCATCAAAGCCCTAGAGTACCGCAGGAACCACTACCCTGCTGGTAAATGTGACAGTACAAAGCCCTGAGGGCGGATACAGACTCCTGCTATTTAGAACGCCACACTAGTGCTCAGACTAATTTGCTGTGATGAAGGAACAAGCCTTTGCAGAGAGCAATCAGCACACAACTCAGCCTTCTGTGCATGAGCCCTGTTGTCAGAGCCAACCAGACCACACTTCTCATTCTCGCTTTGCAGCTGCTGTAAACCATAGAGAATTACAAGTTTGGGTTTAGATTTTAAATAACTCAAATGACATATTCCATGAGCTCTGGGGCTGC